ACAAGCACATAATTGAATACCTAACAACACCCGCGGATATGAGTGTACAAATTGCCTCAATTGCCGTTTGCTGAACAACAAGCCAGATTCTTGATGTCAGCCTGCATACCTGGCGGTAAGCGAGACGAAAATTAGCGGAGTGCTGCTTTATTCCAACTTTCCACAAATCTGCACTCACCCAAGCACAAAAATGCATTCTGCTATTTCGGTCCTGCAGCAGGAAGAAAACACAAGCTGCCACCTGCATATGCACTTAGTCCTGCAAATGTTTGCGCAGACTGCCACACATGTTGAACCGTTTAAAACTCGTGTAGGAGGGGAGGGGGGACGAGACGGCATCTTCCAGACCATCCCCTGAAGGAAGGTCAGTGTGTTTGGTTATCCAGATGGCCTCAGGCCCAAGCGTTGAGATCATTTAGCCAAACAGGTGGTATGCTGATGAAGGCCAAATAGCACCCCTGTGCATGCGAAACCCTCTGAGCAGTCTGCCCTGTCTCCACGACAGTACCTACTTCTAATGGCAACAGAGTTACATAGCCCAGACCTGTGTAGGAGAGAAGCAAGAAAAGCATAGCAGGGGACATTCAGTGCGCCACACAGCGAATAACAAAACCAGTATAGTCGGGGCAAATAATACAACAAACGAGCAGTGTAGCGTAGGAACAGTTTGGGAAGCTCTACAACTTAGGAACGCTTACTTTGCGGATTCGAAACAAGGGCAAGGACAGATGTGAACCCTCATTACAATAATGACACAGTAGAAAGCCTCTGGCTCGACACAGGCCGGACCGTAGGATGAACCCTTGGACTTTCAACCGCTTGTCAAACGTGAATTCGAGGTGGAATTAAGGCAGTCCAGTGGTTTTATGACCGTGTAGAAATATATGAAAGTGGGCTCTTTCAGAAGCTACTAACTAGCTCAAATATCAGGCTACAATAACTTAGAAGGCGCAGTTTATCAGCGAAGGCGACTTAGTCTGAACGTGTTTTGGATGTCCCGTATAATACTAACTAATCGGTCCACTTAATTGCTTGTGAACACTTTTCTCTTCGGCCGGTAAACAAAGCAGAACGAGCTTGCTTCATTGTGAACACGGCTTAAATCCGTGGCGATGCATCTGCACCGAGGCACTAGCCGCAAATGGAAAACGTCCACAAGAGCAGCGCGACCCATATCTTCCGGATACCGTTGCATTTGAAAAGGTTCAAGTAATGATATTTCTGGAGGACGACCACACAAAGCTGGTTCAATCTTCCTCAGAATTGAACAAAAGACAGGTTGGCAAAAAGGTTTGCTGAAAATGGAATTCTTGAGGTTGACGGCCGGTTACATCAAATATACCGACTTACACAAAACAAGCAGTCAGTATGCGCGACATAAGTTACTTTTTTAGACCAACGCCAATCCGCCCTGCAGACATAGGAGCTTTTTGTGTCGCAAGCAATGAACGATGAATTCACAATAACGGCCGGCAAAATGGTGAGTCGTGGCACAGAAGCTTTGTAATTCATGCAAGAAGACTACAGTAATAAATAAAACAGAAACACAGTACACGGCAACAGGGATGCTTTTGTACAAACATGTGTACGTAAAAGAGGAAGTAACTTTACAAGGTTGAGGTTTGGTGAAGGAAAAAAGGAAACACAAGTAGGCAGATGCAGCAGGTACCCGGACTATCCATCCCACAGCCCGGCTTCCCTCATCTTTCGGATGAAGAAAGTCTCGATGGTCGAAACGTTTTTGTAGAGGTCAGATTCGGGCAGGTTATAGGTTCGGCAGTTATGGAACATGCGGCGCATGTCGGCAATGAAGAGTTCCTTCCGCACGTAATACCGGTTCTTCAGACGCTCCGTCATGGTACGTAGGTCTACAAAGGATACATGCGGAGGCAAAGTGAAGGCAGGGATAAATACAATCTTGAAGTCAAGATGTGAAAATAGTAAACCAGGGTGAACCGGAGGCGGGGTAGACAGTCGAGAATATTGCCCACTGGAATACCATGGGAAAGTGATTTGTTCACGCGCCGAGTAAGTAGTGATACGGACTAGAGTGATTCGCTGGTTCTAGTCGACTGCCTCCGCTAGTCCATACACTAATGGTGGCTAGCATGCAGATGTATTCTAAACACGCAGGACGGCTCGTTTGTGAACTGTGCGGGATAACCGGAACAATCAGCGAACACTGCTACAGCTCAAATTCTCGCTAAGGTGGCAAGCTAGCACAGGACAGGGAGCAAGCATAAGGGGCGTGTGGATAGCGAGCTACACGGCGTCTTCAGTAGTGCCTTCCGCAGACGGCACTACCCTAAGTTGTAGGCAGGTTCCAGTCATAAGGGGTTAAGAACACATGATTCAGGAAGATAAAAAACAATAGGATTATTGGCGGAGCAAATCGTGAAACAATGTGGCAGAGGACAAGAACTGCCTTGCCTATTAAAGTCGGGTTTGTAAGAACATTGCTCTCGAGTGGGACGCAGAAAGGCCAATTCGTTCGAAAACTAACAACTCTGACGCGTCTAGAATCACGGAGGGGGGGGGGGATAAAAAGAACAGAGCAGGGGAGGCTCACCCATTGGAAAGACAATGAGGTTGAAGTAGCCTGGAGCCTCAGCAGCCGTAACGGGACGCAAGAAAGGACCGGCCAGTTTGTGCGCCTTAACCGCCTCCAAAACAGGACGCAGCCGATCTGCAAGGGACGCAACTGAATCATTCAAGACTTTCGTCTCTTCACGACCTTTATGCTTCTCCTCTGCGGGGTGTGTGGGAGAGGTCGAAATCTCCGCCTTGGTTTCAGATGTTCGCCTATAATGGGGAGTTATAGGTATTTGGAGAAAGCATCTCTCTGCTAGACAGAAGCAGTAACAGCCATTTTAACTACATACAGCAAATCATAATAACCTAGAAGCTGCTTTAAATGTACATAGTTTCAGCTATTGACCAAATCTTGCACGCTCGAAGGCACCGATTTAAAATAAACAGGAAAGACCGATGGAGGCCATTGGCGATGAAGCATGCCCTGGGATAACTAGAGTAAAAAAAGCAACCAGCATAGCCGGTCGGCAGCAGCTACCTAGAAGTCCACATTTGCTTCTGCAACGGAGAACGGGAGCAGGATATACAAGGACGCTCAAAATAGACGAAAAAAACCCACCTCGAATCTCGTGCCCGGGTTCTACCTGCGATAGTATCCACCCTCGCAGTCGGTGTGAGTGAAGTGCGAGTTCTGAGGCACCTGCCGGTGACCGGGAGTGCAGATTGTAGAGGAGAAGAGGGTCGATCAGTATCAGTGACGCTCGCGTCATCAACGACAGCGCCCTGCTCACTAGGAGGCGCCGCTTCGGGGACGGTTGAAGACAGTGACTGGTCGGCCAGAGTTGGTTCGGGATAGACTGCACGCGTCTCTTCCACCACATCGCCCTCTCCTGGTCGCCAGCCAGCCTCGACAAGGCCGGGAATGCTAGAAAAGGGAATTGGGCCATTGCGGAAGTTGGCGGTGGGAATGCCTGGATATACACGTTCGAGGGCTTTCCTGCGACGTTGGATTATGCGTGAGATTATCTACACAGAGAGGGACAGGTACATAAAGAAGCAAATGTTTAACGCAACAAATACCCATCAAAGGCAAAACTGAACGCGTGCACCGGGCAGGTTTTAAAGAGGGAAAGCTTTAACTGTGCAAGTGAGGCAACCTAAAAGGTACTTCAAACTGTCATCTTCTTTTGACAAAGACAGATGCGTAGAATACACAGGTCTAGTCAGGAAAAAAGGAAGTGGAATACGGAAAAGATGAAGAAGGGCAACAATTGGTGGCGAACGTGGGTATCATACTCAACAAGGCGCCGGCCAGTTTAAAGGTACAGGTAGTTTTAGTTATTCGCTATTTGGCAAATAAGTACGTTTTTTTATTCTGACAGAAAATACGGCGTGAACACCAGAGTTTCCCTTCTGGCGAAGTCCAGCTGGGAGGAACAGACGGACGCAGTGACCAGGGACGAGGGTTTCCGTCAAAAAGTATTTTTGTGCATCTCTTCAGAGGTAACACAATGCATCAAGTAGCAACAAAAGGTTATAAAGATGTCACTTTGGGAACCAGGCTGTTGACGATTCACTGTTTTGGAAGAACATTATTTCAAAATGGAGGCCTGCCTGGCCGGCGCGGCAGCCAGAAAAAATTCATACAATTGTAGAAGCTAATGGATCATTGGCTGAACGTTGATGCGGAAGCAAGAAGATAAGCGAAAACTCAATAAAGAATGGCTACAGTTTAGTTGTTGCTGGCCGTAATAACTCCAGGTAAGTACGAACCTCACGTTGTTTGTTGAGGATTTCTGAAAACTCCGTGTAGACAATGTTTGGGTAGAGTTCGCAGCCCATGAGGGTAGCTCCTTCGTATTCCTTGATATAACCGTGATACGCTTGACGGGGCAGACGGATCTCCCGGGAGAACCCCTGTTTTCGAAAATAACCAGTTGCGAATGAGTCTGCGTAGGTGAGAAAGTGATAGATCCCATGTTGTGTGTGATAGTCTTTTAGGTGGTTCATCATCTGGGTTCCATAGCCCTACAACAACAGAGGAGAAGTAGAAACAGTTCACGGTACAAAACTGCTCTTCTGTAGCAACAGCTTTAATACGACCCCCTAGGAGAGAAGAACTCTACTTGGCTTTGTGTACTTTTTTTTTACTAAAAAGCGACCCTTGATGGGATTTCTAGCTATGCCCGTAAAAGCCTCTGCGACTGTTTATTGGCAAATTTGAGAAAATGTAGATGCAAGAAAAATGAGAAGGTCAGCCTTTCGGATTCAAGTGTGGTGTTAGTTCGAAATTTAAAGGTTAGAACAGAAGACTGTCAACTACTCGCAGAGTCCTGAACACAGCCTTCTTGAACCTAAAATTCCGAGTAACAGATAAACCAAAGGTGCGAAAAAAAATAAGCAAGCTTTCGGACACACCTTCACTTGTTCATTGAAAATGACAGCACAGAATACGATTTCAGTGAATCCCTGAGTTGGAAACATGCGAAAGGTGATGCCTCCGATTGCGTTGCGTTCGCCAGAGTCAGACACTTTGAGGAGAACAAGGTTGCGATGTTTCCTGTCGATGACAAAAAGGCACGCTGAGCTGACGAAGGGAGATAATGTACAAAGGAGACTGCAGTGAGAGTATACTAAATTCAACCCATAAGACAGTACCAAGCGGCTCTAAAGGTTGGATACCTTGGCAGAAGGGAAGTACGAATTTCATCCGAAGACCGTATTTGCCTACCAAAAATACTCCAGAGCCACCTCTTACCTCAATGAGACGGAATGCAAAGCGGCCGGTTAACTGACGCCATACGAGGGGTCAGATTTCGGAAACGCGAGACCCCGTCCTCCGCAAACACACTACGTTTTTCGTGTTTGAACGGCAAACAACGTAAGACTCAGACATGAAGGTAGATTGGCCGAAAGACCCATGCTTAAAAAATACACTTTCAGTAGACAATCTGCTAAGGGCTTACATTCACAACACGACCTTTAGGTAGGCTCACTTTGTCGACACTAGTTGCATTGTAGGACGGTCCAGATTGTAGAAATCCCATCGCAAAGTTATTCAGCCCATTTCAATTAATGACTGGCAATACCAGCTGATGGTCAGTAAAGGTATTTCAGGGGGGCATAGTAAGTAAATATCGAACAACAAACAGTCGCATCGCTAAAGGCGCCATGGACAAGCCGAGCACAATACGGGATTTTATGAAAAGTTTATGAATTTGGACAACTCCAATTGGGAATATCCTAATACACCGAGATGTAATCAATGCTGTGTAAGGCTTATGCCATCACCTGTCCCGGTAGCCTTTATGTCACGAAAGGACAGGGGAAGAATAAGTGTTGAGGGGTTACCGAGGAGGCGAGGTGGAGCACGCAATTTAACTCTTCATTTAGGTACGATGTGGTGAATTACTAAAGTGCCAAGGCAGCGGAGATTGCGTAGACTGATGAACATAAAGGCACGCAAGTGTCCGCAAAAAAACCTTTTTTGTAGAAGAGACGGGCAGGTGGCTACCGAGTGCCTTCTTATTCGGTCATCACGTAATGGGCAGAGGGGGGATGGAGGAGGATGGGAAAGCCAGCAGAAACCAACGACCAAAAGACATGCTGTTATACGGACAACAGCGCCAAGGAAATGCTTTCGGGTGCTATCGTCAGGTAAAACGACAGGACAAGCATTAAACAACGCTCCCATTCAACGTATACAACACATAGATGCGGTATATCGACCTGCATAAGAGTGAGCACGTTAACGTTCTAGTGGATGAGCGATTGTACCAAAACCCTGACCGAGGATGAAATGGTTGACCCCATAAAGTGATACCCCTCTTCATTTGAACATCCGAGGGAAAACTTAGTGTTTCACGCGTTTACGTCATCGCTCAAACATGCACCGGGTACCATCTTCATTTGGGGAACAAATGACCTGATACTGTAGACAACGGTTCGAGATTAACATCATGCGAAAACCCGCCGGTAGAGTATGGGTACTTTGCAAGCTGGAATCGTTTTTGTGGAAGGGGACTGATAAACAAAAAGTAGTCCAATAAAGACAAGGGAAACGGAGAGCACTAGAAGAGTAGCACTAAAAGACGTACGGATCGAATACGAGGCGAGTAATATACTCTTTGGGCATTCGAGGTAATTGGATAGCAAAGACATTCAGGAGCTCAAGGAGCCAAATATACGTCTGCGGTTCCTGTTTCTGGCTGAGGCTGTTGTTGACCACATGGAACTCGATGGTGCCCGCCGACTCCTCCCGTCTGGCAGCAGCATCGCGAGCGGCATGGAATGACCGTAGCTGCAAACAGAACGGCAACAGAAGGATTTACTCAGACCTCGGCAGATGGTCGCTGTCGACCGTTGAACGAAGACGATATAATAGTAGCCATAGATATTAAGTATAAGCACAGGCTTCGTTTAAGGTTTCGCAACTGAATTCAACGCGAAGTTCAGACCACGACAAAACTGCGATCAGCAATAAAAAGTTAACGGAGCATCACAGGGTAGCTCAGGCTTCCAGAAACTTCTGATGGGACATGCGAAGTCGACAGGCAGGAAGTAGTTTGCTACGCAATCAGACAGTAACGACAACAGCGGCGTGGACACTGCAGAGGAACATTACGTAAAACGCTCCGGCCCAAAACGCTACTTCAAATAAACCAGCAGAACGAGGTCGACGCGCGAAAAGGAGCGCCTATTCATTTAATGCTGCCGTTCTTGTGCTTGCAACGAGAGACATAATAGATGGAACGTTAGGTGTGGCGGCTGTTAAATCCGCGTGCAAGAACTCCACCCCAAAGTGTCCCTTGCACTGTGTCGTGATCTACTATACCTCCAAAGCTGGACCTGCTCTATCTGTCAAACGTTCAGGCAAACTCCAATAGCCGTAGAGGTCGTTTCTGCCAAACGATAAATCAATGATAACAGTAAAACGCTCGGACAGCTTTAGCATGAATGCCACCAAAGACGCACACTGAAACCACACATAACTTGGTGACGATGGCCATTGTTGGCCAGTTCGGACAAAATATTATGAAAACCATAGAAAGGAAAGGGAAGTTGATGAAAGGACCGTCAATAGCTCTGATAAGACGTATTGTCTGGTGAGCTTTTAACCAAACTGCGGGCTATAAAAGTTGATTCTGCATCGAAAACAGCCTCCATGGGCTTTTCTTTTTCTCTATTATGTCACAAGCCGACTAGGCATTTACTTCCCCTAACTTTGGACTTGTTCAGATTACTAGGCCTTGCGAGCCAATGGATTGTAGTTTAATTAGAAATGAGTAGAGCCATGTCGAAGAGTGGCTGAGTGACCAGCGCACGCGACAGAATCCTGGGTGGTCGGGGATACCGGGTTCCCAACCCAATAGAAAGCGGTGTATGGTTGTTGCCTTGCATACCGTAGGGGAGGGAAGGATGTGTCCACCAAACTTCTGTTCTTCATCAATCTCCTTCAGAACCTCCTCCAATTCCAGGGGATTGATATCCCCGGGAACATAGGGACGAGCTCGTTTTGGTGGTAATGACAGTGGGTCGACGTTTGAGTCGGGTTCGTGGGGCCGGCAACAGATACCGAGAGGAGTTGTTTGTGTCCGAGACTGAATGCTGGCTTGCCTCGCAAAGACGTGTGGAGTTCCAGGAAAATCATTCTCCTCTGTGCTGGCCATAGCAGCCTGATTCTTCAGGCGAACACCTGCACGAAGATAAGTAAATTTTACTAATAATGGAAAGATGAAGCTAAATCCTATTTATTCGGGACATATAAACACGTGAAAAGATAAGTAGAATGACCGCTTACATGAGGCCAGAGGTGACTTGCGACGTACCGTGACAACTATTCGAATAATTTGCAGTGATTGAGTCTACGTTTAATGACCAAGACAAAGAGGACGACTACCGTTTCAACGCCATTAATATTTGCATCCTAACCGTTAGAGGTATTATTAAGGCAGCTTCGACACCATAAGAGATATGGACTCGTAAACCAACAGTGCTCAGCCAAATGCAGCAGTAGAAGAAAAGTAACCAGCACATTTTACAAAAGTCCCTAAGATACTTTTCCTCGGATATGTAGCCGGAGGAAAGATGAGGAAATTATTTTCTTAAAAGTCGAGAAAACGTCAAAACGAAGACTGTGTGACAGACTAGAAAATAACGCTTCTATTGGTTTAAGTCGACCAAGCGCACTGAAGGACATCTTAAATGCCAATCAGTTAGAACTGTTACTGGCTAAACGAGACCGCCAGACGTAAGCATCTACCGGAGGAGTCCGCAATGCAAAACGCGCCTAATTCACTTTCCGTCTGATGTTAATAACAAAAAACATCTCGGGAGGGAGACAGTATCGACACGCCTTGAGTTTAGGTATGCTACAACAAGAGTGGCTCGTCTCCCATAACGGAACCATGTCTTACCGGCCCTTCTAGATTGCGATATAACCCAGGGAGGGTGTAAAACCAACTAAATATTATCACTAGACGCCCGCCGGCAAGTCCACTCTGCTGAAAAAAGTAAAAATGAAACAGAGAGGCGGAGTGCACACTAACTCTGGCGACTCCTTAGGGCGTGCTGGGCGAAGTGCTTTATCCTGATCCGGAAAAAGGAAAAAAGCATCCTACATCGTTTTAATTTCTAGCAAATGACCTCTGTGTAAAACCCATGGAAGTATATGGAAGCTTAATTAACTATGTGACCTCATGTGTCAGCTCTAGATCCAGTACACCAAGACTAGACGGGACGCCTGTGCTCCATCCTGTAGGCAGGATAGATCGTCAACTGTCACCCCCGTGACTCTGTCAGCTTCGTTTTAACCCTGGGTATAGACAAAACGGAAGAATAGGTTATTCGATTGTTGGTTTTAGGGACAGTTACAAAACAAACGTACTCGCTCTCCTCTTTGGAGTGGCCGTAGATGAACTACTGTGTAACGGACTGCCTGGCTTCACGCAGTGCACGGGCGTGTTGTGGCCGGTGGTCCACATTTCATCCGACGATTTGGCGGACCCCGTGTGCGCAGTGCTGTTCTCCTCAATTTTTGTCAGGTCAAACGGTTTAAAGTCTTCGGATAAATCTGTAGTAGCAAACGGCCTGAAGAACGGATCCCAGATGGCGGAATTGGGAAGGCGAGCCTCGGTTTCCAGTTCCTCAATAAAGCTAGATAAGCAGGCCATAAGGAGGAATTAGAGGTCCCAGACTGTCTGGATGCTTACCTCGAAAGATCTGCTGCTAGTTTCCCGGTGGCCTTCTCCTGGCGAACGCGCTCAATTAAGCCTGACTTAAGCTCCGGCAACATAGCCAGAAAGAAGTTCTTCCCAAAAGCAAGAGAGGGTTCAAAGTGGGGGAAGCTCGCGCAGAATAGAGGGATGCAGCAGTGACACATCCAGCGCATGTAAATCAGCCGGTAACCTACGGCATTTTCATTCTTGCCCCGACGTTGTTTTGGTTTTTGTAGTTGCCTGCCGTTGAGGTAGGTTAGCACGAGCCTGCCTAAGCTGATGAAGGTCCGTGGCTCGCTGGGATTCGTTGCCAGCTTACGAATGATCAAATTACGCACGGCCTGCAGAAATTGATGCAGTTTACTTAATACAATGGGAGTACTTACAGTATTGATGCTTGGTCTTTCGAACGGGGGCAGGTCATCAATCTGAGGCTGAAAGCGATTAGTTAGCGCTTTCCGTAGCCGCTAAAGTAGGTAAATAGACGGGATGCAATCTACCTTGAGCATGCAAAAGTAGAGTTGTCTCGTTTCAATGTCCTCCTCGTTGGCGCATAGGAGGAAGAGAGTCTCCAGGTCATCGACCATTTGAATAGCAGTTGTTTCAATCCATCTAACGAATTCGGGGGAGTCGACATCGGCACAGTGTGAATGCTTGCAGCTGCCACATGTAAGGTGATCACTGTCATTTTCCCCCTCTTTCCAGCTTGGACATTTGCAGTCAAAAGTCTGAAGAAGACGTTGGCACAAACTTAGCACGCAACAGCCATTGACAAATCCAAATTTTTCAAAGTCGACGCTACATGCAGTAGAGGATGTGAGACAGACAAAACAATTGGTTTGCTGGTAAGGCGGAGGAAACTAAGAGATACGTCGGTCTCGTGAAATTAAGACCCTTTTCCTAGTCACTTGCATGGCCACGGCGCAAACTCACAGGATCTCAGAAGCTGTCCAGTTCAGATGGAACAATACCTCTATCGGAAATCCTCACAGTCACATGCGGAGTGTGGTAGGGTTGCGTACCCACTCTAAACATCTTCAGTCTCATGTTCTCCGCAATGCTACTGAGTGGCTATGACGAGAGGTGATCAAAACCTGACAGTAACTATCAAATCGGCAGAAGCTATTCAATACCCGTCTTATTCACGTTCTTACGAAAGTACCGAAAGAACAGAACATGCAACTTTCTTGGCAACAAATGCGAACCCAACACTCCCAAAACAAGCAAGAATGTGGCGGAGCCTTGACATGCTGACTCTGGACGTGCCACGCAGCCTAAAAACGATTGGAACCGGCGCCAGTCGCGGAATATTAGCAAATCTTGATCACATTAGTGATAACAAATGACTGACTGTGCTAAATAAATTATCTGATACGGAAAACACGATCTTCATAAACATAAAAATTGACAAGATTACGGTTTGAATAACTAAAGCCAGTAGAGCCTTCGACAGGCTTTACACAACACTATAAAATCACCCGAAAATACTTCTCAAAATCAACCTGAGAATGTACAAGTTTGTTGTCCTGACCTCCCGCTACAGTGCGGGGACCTGGACAAACTACCAAAACCAGGCGATGAAGTAAAACCACTTCTATCCAAGCTGACTGGGGAGGATACCGAAAAGGAAATGACAAAGACGGACCCCAGACTCCGAAATTGACCAGCGTGTTTACCACCTTTGCTTTACTGAAATAGATTCGGCGAAGCCCTCGGCCAAGACAATTCTGTACGGATGAGGGACATCTCCCGGGCGCTCTGAAGATGGCCACTGTCTGGACGTATTTGAGTGATGATGCCTACGCTAAGTCCTTCGAATTTCTCTCTCTGACCGTGTTTTAAACGCATAAACCGTCGGTCAGAAACCCAACTCATCAGCTACGCCCTCTCACCGGCTGACTGAAATAACGCGGCTAGATACTCCGTACACCTGATTACGAAATCTTCCGGGACGTCCCTTGTACAAAACCAAATCTGGTATCGAGGCGGCCAACCTAAGTCGTCTAGAAACCCGACCTTTAGCGGACAACTTGCTCTTTGGTATGCGGTGTGTGAGGCTTGTGTGTGAACTTGCTCGACTTCACTCAGAAATCGGCCTTCGATTGAATGCAGTGAAGAGCGATCAGTTTTGATGCTAGCAGAATTGTCTACTTTGAATGACATCAAAGTACAAGCAGTACAGCTGCCGCTGTTGCGGACCTATTTCACTGAGCGGTCGGAAGCCGGAGCGTAGTTACTGAGTAGTAAATTGGCGACTGGTAGGAGTCGGGCAAATGGTCTCAGTTACAATAATAGCCTCGTCGGTTTGCTGAGTTATTGAGATCCGGCACCTGAAGCTAGTACAGTGACTTTTCGGCTTCCTGGAAGGCAAGCTAGATCAACCCATTTGGAATGGTCGCATAAAAACTCCCAGTCGAACTAATAAGCTCAAGACGATACGGCTCACAACAATGGACTACGTAAACATGGCTCTAGGTGGGAGACGTTGCAGAGTTCTCGTGTTAAAAATCAAGGTATGGCTGATCATGGTTCCGTACTCATGCTTACTAAGGCATTAGGCGCAACAGATGCGCCCTTCCCTGTTTGGTCGACAGTTCGGCCAACGGCAGCAGAAGTAAGCGACCAGCCTAAGAGCTTCATTTTAAACCCTGACAAGGCAGATATCTTTAAGGTCAAAGACTTGGCGCGCCCATCTTCGTTTTGAAAGAATACATTTTCAAGTTCATCTTGGCTGCCTTTCCGCTAAGAAGTTGGCTGATACCGCCACGTCACCAACGTGGTTAAGACCCACAACGCATGGAGCACAACCCACTTGAAAATAGGGGTGGTCTGCCAAGCGCGTGTCAAAGAACCCATTCTACGACTTAATTGGACAGCACTGGTGAGAGAGCGCAGCCCTGATGGAAACTGGAGGTAGTCAAAGAAGCTAATCTCCTTACCAAACACTGCGAGCAATTATGCAACATGATCAAGCGCAGGAAATCCCGATAGACAGTGTGAAGAGCAGAGAAAAAAATCGACGAAGCAAAAGTGGTCTGTTCTTGGCAATGGTGGCGTTTGCAGCCTTGACAGAGCAAGAATGCTAATAAGCGCGATTCAAACCGGTTCGAAGATTATATTGCCCACTGTGCGCAAGCGGAAGTGATATAGAAAGATTGCAAAGACTTTGGAGACAATTTCAATTAGACTTGTGCTGCTTATAAAGCGATATGTCGCCTTCCCTGAGCATCACCGCTACGGCAAAACCACTCCAGTCTAGGGTATGGTCTCTGCCTCTGAAGGTTCTGTAACAGGTTGGCTGTTACGGCTTAACAATGCTGGTGGATCTTAGATGTAAGACGGGCCTAACCCGGTGCTTTACTACTCCTCAGTTTCTCCAGCACCTGGATAAATGGCCGGCTAAGGTCACAGTCACCTTCGAGCGCCAGGCCGGCCAGGCTCAAAAAGTGGAAAAAGTGCGCCCTCTAAAGTACCGTATCCGGAGACTAATGGTATCAGCGTATCTTAATTATCTCTAATAACTGCGGCCGACCTATTATAGAACTCGTTCACCTTCCAAATCTGGCAGGGCTCCCTCTCGTCTCAGTCACCTCGTGTGTCCGATATATCCGACGGTTCTACTTCAGCGTTCGTCGCTCGATGTGACGTACAGAACTCGTAGTCGAAAAACAGGTTCTTGAGGTTCGCGCTGCCTCAAACAGAAGCTGCACTTGGAATAACAGACAGTGGGGTCCTTTAGCAGAGGCCCTATTTTGCGGCTACGTCTACTGCGGCCTAGACGTTTCTGGGGGGGGGGGGGGTACTCTGGGAAGTATGCTGCAATTCCAGTTAGTTTTCTTCTACTGAAGAGGCCTTAGGGATGGTTGTCGTTTCGGTCAGTACGCGGAGGCCGTTGGAGAGATGTTTAAAAAAGGCCATTGTAGCAGCAAGATCCCTAAGACAGTCGATATCGCATCTGCTCGTAAACTGCTTTTTTGACAAAACGCAACCTGAGTCGTAGCTCCATCCTCACAAGAACATGGTCGGAGCCATTCTCGCTGTCGGTGTATTCACCACGCGTCACGTGAAGGCAAGTGCTGGCAGGTATGATGTTGGATGTGACCATCATGATAGTTCGACCATCGCAACTGACGATGTCCACTATGTGTTCCATAGCAACGTGATGTAGACAGTGAATTGTGCGGGTAGACCTGCGCAGCACCTGCCGCACACTCCTCCCAACCTGGGCCGGCGTCAAAACAATCAAGAAGACCGGAGGCGTGGGGTGCGCACGTGGATGGCGCGGCCGAATCCACATCTGGGCGCTCCACTTTAAAGCCCCTGATGTATAACAAGCAACCAGGATTTTGACGACCACTACCACTGTAGCCGGCAACTTGACGGCAAAATTGTATCAGGACAGGGACTGCAACATGGAGGGAAAGTTGCAAGAGTGTGATATTCTCCTAATTGCCACTAGGGTTATTCTCAACAGAATGACATAACGTAATAAATCAACATGAGATCATTATGTTTATCAGAAACTGATAAAGGAAAACGAGCTACAAGGCGCCGGAGCAAGCATAGCTAGACTATTCGACTCACTTGGCAGGACAAGTACGGTAATGCTTTTAACAACTTTTCCGAGTATCCTAAAGTCGACGTATACTTTCGACGATCGTACACACGTTCACGTCTGTTCATATTCCAAGTCAAAAGTCGCAACAACAAAGACCATCCGGACTTTCAAAACAGTTTAAAAGAGGGACCAACAGCGGAGCGGACTCAAACAACCGCGGCAGAAAACGTTCGGTTTTAATGGTTGAGCGAATCATCTGAATTTACAAATTGTCTCGACAATTGTACAAGCGAATTAATACTGTTTATAATGATAGTTATTAACCATTGTATCGCACGATATTAATTTTTGAATGAGATGACAAAGCTCACGACATGCTCCCCTTAATCGGAGTCTTGTGGCAAAGCTGTAAGGCAAGATGAACGGCAATTGTCAAAATACAAAAACCCGTGTTATTCGTGTTATCTGAATGACTTCTGGTTGACTCCCCAACCACTTCCCCCATTTTGTCAACTGGCTATCAAAATGAACACAGTTGTCGAATACGACAGACGAGAGAAGAATAGAAGAAGAAGAGAGAGAGAGAGAGGAAATGCGCTTTATTTTGAAATCGTAAGTTCAAAATTTTCAGCAAAAAATTGGCTCCATTCACTGTGGGTAGTAAATAAGTTAAGAGATTATTCAACAGTCAAAGAAACGATTATTATGGGGATAGTTCAAGTCTGAGCTTCTGTATTACTGTCTCTTCGCACGTAAGATAGCGCGCTAGGAATGGCAATACAGAGGCTCGAAAAGCCGATGTGCGACAGGGTATAAGACGGAAGTTGCGGCGCATCGGGCGGGAAGACTTGGCAGCCATAAGATCGGAATGTAGGGGATGGGCAACGTCATCTAGAATTCGACCAGCAAATTGCTTGACCGCATTGAAGTGTCGTTGTAAGATTGTGTCAACTAAAAAAATATGAGAAACGCCAGCAGCAGAAGAGAGCATGCGGAGGATTCGTTTTAAAATTAAAAGATCCTTTTTTAACAGAGCAGGAAAAACGACAGGAGAACAGTATAGGATAAGAGGAAGAATGCAGGCATCAATGAATCGCCAGACTAAGGGTTGAGGTGTGTAGTAGGAACGCAAACGACGAATGTAGTAAAGGAGTTTACGAACTTTAATAAATATGGACTTAATATGGAGGGAAAAAGAAAGATTTGAGGACAAAGTAACGCCGAGATACCTGAAAGAGGATACCTCATTAGGAAGAATGTCAGAGGAATCAGGGTTAGGAGAGGGCCGCAGTCGAAAAATACACTGAACGCATTTTTGGTTGTTAATTAGGAGACCATTTTCCTTCGACCACGCTAGGACATGGTTTAGGCCATCCTTTAGAGACCGGAGGTGTGTCTGACTTTTGAGAGGGTGTCCAACAACCACATCGTCAGCATACTTGATCAGAAGACAATCATTAGGGGACCTGAGATCATCAGTGTGGAGGGAGAAAAGGTGAGGGGATAGAATGGAACCTTGAAGAACACCGCAGTCATTGGGAAGGGTCGAAGATTTTCGCTTGCCAGATTGGACAAATTGGGTGCGGAAGCTAAAATAATCGCTCAGCCAAGAGACGACCCAGCCTGGAGAGCCACATGCGGAGGTTTTGGAAAG